TCTTATTTCCCCTGAACTGACTCAAGCAGCATTTTATCTTCTTCAGTTCTTGGAAGTGCTATGACTTCTCCCCACATAGCAAGTCCCTCATGTCCTGGCTTCCTTTCGTACTCAGATCAAGTCGGATCTATCAGAGGAAAGTATTTCTTGACAAGTAACACAGTACCTCACCCCCATTTGCTTCTAGAAATCTCATCTTGCTAACTGCAACCCTGCACTGTGGCATTTTGGACTGACTCACTCTGAAAGGACCACACCTTCCCACCTTGTCAGAAAGGCTGCTCTGACACTTGCCTGCGTCTTTAAACATACTCTCAAGCATGCCTGTAAATTCTGATTCTCCTCCGGCTTCCACTTGCAAGTATTGGAATTGCAGACATGTGTGGTCAAAAGCAAATTATGTAGTGCTGGCCTCAAACCCAGAGTTTTAAAGTACATCCTGGGTAAGCACAGCCTGAGCTGAATCACAGGCTCTTCTTCCTTACTAAAATCTATTCATCAGCAAAATATTACATGCTCACACAGCTTCAAATTGCATCCACATGTCAACTTACATGTCCAACCTCATGTCCCAGTTAGCTTCAGCTGTCAACCTGACATAACTAGGGGCCAACTGAAAGAGTCTCAGTTGAGGGATTACCCAGACTGGAGTACATCTCCATCTCCATGGGGAATTGTCTTGATTGTTGATTGATGTGAGAGGGTCTAGCCTACTATAACCAATGTCATCTTTGGGAACGTGGTTCAGAGTTATATCAGAAAGCAAGCCAAGTGCCTACAAGGGGGAGAAAGCCAATTAGCAGCCATCTTCCATGGTTTTTGCTTTAGTTCCTACCTAGATGTTACCAGGAAGTGTAAGTCAAATAGACCCTTTCTTTCCTCTTGTTGCGTTTGGTCATAGTTTTTACAACATCAACAGAAAGCAAACTAGAATACCTTGATTCTAAAATAATTATTTCACAGTTCTACTCCAATTTCTCAAAAAATATTTCAACTATATAATTTTCAGAATAAAATCTTGATTTCTCTCTCTGATTTACTCCAAATCCAGCACTCCCCAATTCTGTAAATGGCATCCTTTCCACCCAGAAAATTTCACCACCCCCAAATCTGGGCATTAAGCTCATTACTGTCTTCTCCTTTATCTTCTTATCCAATCTATCTGCAAGGACTGTCTGTTTTGCCAACAAAATATATCTGAAATAGACTAACTCTCCTCACCTTTAGTTCTCTCCCTGGAGTTTAAACTACCTGCCATGGTCTTATTCTGCACAAAAACAGGAAGACCCCATCATCTATCCTTGCATCTTCCTCCAGAATTTTATCACATCTGAAATATTCTTTGCCACTTAAAATATGTTGTGTGATTATCTTGCAATGGCTTGTCGCATTCATTTAAATTATCCAGAGAAATAAAATTCTCTGTGTGTGTGTGTGTGTGTGTGTGTGTGTGTGTGTGTGTGTGTGACAGGATGAAATCTAAAATTCTTAAACCGTAGCATAGTTCTGGCATGACCAAGTTTCCATAACTGCCTTTCCACAGCACCCTGTGTTTCAGACATGGCTGGCTTTCCATTCCTTCCACTCTGTGCTTCTTCTCCATGAAGCCCTAAAACTTGTTCTGCCAGATGCCTGAAGCAATCATCTCTCCATCTCACTTACTCACCCTTCAAGTCATTTTAGAAACCTTCTCAGGGAAGTTTTTCTGACTTCTAAAACTATTATCAATCTTGATGTATTCATTTGACTCAGTAAAAGAAATGGCCAATTTCCAAAGGGAGAGAACAGAGCTGTGTGCTCTAGGACCCAGAAAGCAATAAACAAACAAGGGGCATCACCAGGATACCATGGCACAACACCTCAGCTCAGTTATCTGGAAGACTGCTTTAGAAAAGTGAACTTAAGTAGGAGCTCAAACCTGACTGGAATTGCAAGCGCCCTCAGATACAGTTGTAATTATTTAATTTCTGCACATTCTACTTATCTTCTTCTTGTTCATAAACTTAAAAGCACTATTAATCCTTCAGCCTTAATGCTTCTAATGTGGTGTGTATGTTTTCAAGAATGACAAGTATGTGTTTTTTTACATTTTGCAAAGAGGAATGAAGCACACTGTCTCTTGTCACTGAGCTGAACCCTGGTCTCTCTGTCCAGAAGGATAAACAAGAATATTTTGCATTTGATTTTATGATTCAGCTTGTCACAGACATCAAATAATGGGTCTGAAAGAGATGCTACATGGATGACAAAAGAATGTCCAGAGCTGCGAATAATATTGCTGCAAAATCTCAAGCAACATAAAAGATAAACAAATCCCATACCACTTCTAGTCCAGACCCAGTGGTTAAATTGCTGTATCACAGAAATTCTGTTTTCACAGTGTTCATTAGAGTTATGTGCACTGTGAGCATAAGCCTAGTTCTCTAGCCTGTCATTGTTACCCACCTAAGGAAGAGAAAGCTCAGATCCCCCACTGTAAACTTTTCCTAAAGCAAAACAAAACTATTGTGCTAAAGTCTCATTCTGTCAATAAGTTGGATTTTCCCAGCACATTTTTTCCTATTCTTCAGAATAACCAAGCAAAACACATGTAGAATGAAGTGGACATTAGATACATTGGAAAATAAATATAAACTTACATTTCAGTCTGAAAAGGCACTCAAGCCTAAAGCTTAAATCCAGTACCTTTCATATGACCTGGGAGGTCCCTGATGTACCATCAGGAAAGTAGTTCAGCAAAACTTAGACATAGGTCTAAAGACAGGCAAAACTCAACCAGCATGTTCAACGTGAGATTTACTAATGAGAGTTAAGCAGGAAAAACTAGGTTTCAAATTTATTGTTCTTAAACATTTCTGGCTCTTTCATGACTTAAGGTTTTAATGTTTCTTGAACTATTTATGGATGTTAAACAGACTCATAAATTTTGGTCATGAGATAGTATTTATAGCAGATTAAGGAGACTTTCCCACTAATCCCAAATAATTTCATCAAGATTGGTTTCTTGAACAAAACACCAATAGGTATATTTATCTTTTGCCCCCCAAAATAAAGATTACAGAAATACAAAGAACTCAAGAAGCTAGTCACTAAAATACCAAATAATTCAATTAAAAAGTGGAGTACAGAAATAAACAGAGAATTCTCAATAGAGAAATCTAGAATTGCTGAAAGACACTTAAGAAATTGCTCAACATCCTTAGCCATCAGGGAAATGCAAATTAAAGCAACTCTGAGATTCCATCTTACAACTGTCAGATTGGCTAAAATCAAAAACACCAACATCAGTTTATGCTGGAGAGGATGTGGAGAAAGGGGAATGCTTCCCCATTGCTGGTGGGAGTACAAACTTGTCCAGCCACTTTGGAAATCAGTGTGACGGTTTCTCTGGAAAATGGGAACCAGTCTACCTCAAGATCCAGCATTCCACTCTTAGGCATATACCCAAAGGATGCACATTCATACAACAAGGACAGCTGCAATGTTCATAGCAGCATTATTTGTAATAGCCAGGACCTGGAAGCAACCTAGATGCCCCTCAACCGAAGAATGATAAAGAAAATGTGGTACATTTACACAATGGAGTACTACTCAGTGGAAAAAAAACAATGGAATCTTGAAATTCAAAGGCAAATGGATGGAACTAGAAGAAACTATTCTGAGTGAGGTAACCCAGTCACAGAAAGACAAACATGGTATGTACTCATTCATATATGGCATTTAGACATAGAGCAAAGGATTACCAGCCTACAATCCACACCTCCAGAAAAGCTAAGAAACAAGGAGGACCCTATGAGAGACATACACTGTCCCCAGTGAAGGGGAAAGGGACAAGAGCCCCTGAACTAATTGGGAGCATGGGGGAAGGGGAATAGAGGGAGGAGGAGGAGGAGAGGAGAAAGAGGACGGGGAGGAGAACATGAGGGATCAGGAAGATTGAGTGAATAAAGGAGACTAAGAAAAGAGACACATCAATAGTTTAAAGAGAAATCTAGCACTAGGGAATTCTACAGAGATCCACAAGGATGATTCCAACTAGGATCCTAAGCAATAGTGGAGAGGCTACCTTAAATACCCATCCCCTATAATGAGAATGATGACTACCTTAAATGCCATGCTAGAGCCTTCATACAGTAGCTGATGGAAGCAGAGATCCACAACTAAGCACTAAGCCAAACTCCTGGAATCCAGTTTCAGAGAGGGAGGAAAGGGTCAAGGTCACGCTGGGAAAAAAACACAGAAACAACTGACCTAAGCAAGTGGGAACTCATGGACCCCAGTCTGACAACTGGGGAACCAAAATAGGACCAAACCAGGCTCCCTGAAAATGGGTGTCAGCTAGGAGACCTGGGCAGTCTATGGGGCCTCTGGCAGTGGAACCAGGATGTATCCCTCGCGCACAAATGGATTTAAGGAGCCCATTTCCCATAGAGGGATACTTTCTTAGCCTAGATACAGAGGAGGGCCTAGGCCCTGCCACAAATGACTTGACATATTTTGATGATCCCGCATGGAAGGCCTGAGGTGAGTGGATTGGGAATGAGATGCAGGTGTGGTCGATGGGGGGAATAGGAAGTAGCGGGAGAGGGAACTGGGATTGATACGTAAAATAATATTGTTTCTAATTTAAATAAAATTTATATATATAAAAGAATTTTTCAGTGCTCTGCCTGCGGGCTACACTCCACAGCCAACCTTCCAGGGCCTCTAGAGGTGCCAGATTTGACCCATTCTTCCCAGCCCTGTCCTGTCACAAAGTCACAGCAAACCTCAGCCCCGAGGATCTGTTCCACCTTCACCAGCTTTCAGAATACAGGATTAGAACCAGACTTAACCCAAAGCTGAGCCACCTGCAGTCTGGAGGCCAAGGCAACACTGCCAGCGAGGCCCACCCACTGGGAGACAGGAAAGGGTCTTTGGCCCTACTGTGTGTTTTCTTTTCACATCTAATACCATCCTTCTACCAAGCCAAATAACCAGACAGACTGCCTCCTGCACTCTGGGTTTTGTTAGTTTATTTGTGTAAAATGTCACTGATACTATGTGAGTGTCTCAAAGTAGTGGCGCCAAGGAGGGAGAGTAGCAGCCGGCAGCATGATGGAATTTTGCAGAAGTCACTTCTCCTTGTAAGGTGGTCCAGCCACAAGCTCTCTGCTTCTCCATGTTTCCCAGCCATTTTGGCGGCGTGTCATCTTCCCAGCCTTGAGAGTTGCATATGGTGAGGATCTCACTGTATAAACTGACAGCAGAACTGGTCCAAGTTCTCCCCCATAGAAAGGGACTGGTGGTGGGATCCCCTTGTGTCAGAAAAGCAGGAAGAATTTGTATTGCAAATAGCAACATTTCCATAAGGAAAGAAAGGCCCAAGGTACTCATCCTAAGCAGTAACCCAACCTTTTGTTTTTTTTAATCCAGGTCTTTTTGTCTAGTTTATGTTGCTTTCTCGTGCTCGTACTTCTAAAAGTACAAAATAAAACACAAACATATAAAGGAGACAACTTATATTTAACTACTGATATTAAGATATTTTAAGGACAAATTGGTGATATAGTATTGTACTTTTCCAATACATTAAATAACAATGTCTAACAGTAGCCCTGATGATTATCATAATTTCCCCTCGTGGGTTTGAACACAACCCAACTTCATGAGACATGAAATAATTGTCATAAAAAGTATCACAGATTTGTATCAGCTACTGATACAGCAGAAGTACTGCAAACACTATGGCTGGAACATTCCACTTCTTGGAATCACAATAAAAGAAAACACAAAAAGTTTAGTGGCCTTTTGATCCAGTCCCACTGGATTCCTGAATTCTACCCCTGGAGCTCAAGTGAAGAAACCCTGATGACTTCATGCTAACCACTTACTCTGCCCAATGAGAACTTACCACACACATTGAGAATTCTGGTTTAACATTTTGTAGTGGCATTATCTTTAAGTGCTAGGTTTCTAAGAGACAGTAGGAATCAGATTACTGTACCATCAGTCTCACTAAGCCAACAGCTAATATATCCTCATTAGCTCAATTAGCTCCTAAACATTGTTTCCCAGAGTGAGATCATCGCACAGAAAATATTGACTATTCACGTGCATTTCACAGCAGGTTTTAGGGTCAGGTCTGTGGTCTCTGAAGCTGCCTCTGCAAGCCAGGTTGCAGATGGGAACACAGGGTGAATATAGGGATATTCATTTATCATAGAAGACTAAAGAAAGAGTCACTACACAGCAAGCGGGAAGAAGCACAAAAACTCCATTTAGTTCATAAAATTGGCTTTGCTTTCTACTTAGCTTACTAATGTTCCTATCATATTTTCTTAGTCCTTTTCTGTAGGTAGTAAGTGCATTCTTGAATAATCGTAACTCTAAATCATAGCCTTTTTATCACTGGGTATCAGTTTTTACTTCTCAACTAAATTGTAGGTTATGGGGAAGGCAGAATGTATACCTTTCTTTCAAGCACAGTGCTATGAACTTTGAGGGAACTGTTATAAGTGATTGCTCATAGGCCAAAAATAAATAAGAAATACATTTGAAAAGGAAGCTAAATACATTAACTTCTTTGTTGAACATTAGTTTTCATGAACTCCACTTCAGAAAATAAAAGACAAATATTTAAGACTCACCAAAGGGAATTGGTGTGCCAATTCTATATATAGAGAGCTCTCTCTCTCTCTCTCTCTCTCTCTATGTGAAGTTTAGAGGAGGATATAAGGTGTTCTGCTCTACACTCTCCCCCTTATCCCTTGAGACTTGATCTCTCAATGAACTATTTTTGGTTAGGCTGAATGGGCATCGAGCTCCAGCAACCCTCTTGTCTCTACCCATCCCATTTTCTACACAGTTATAGGAACATATGTCAGCTGTTTCTGGATGCTGAGGACCCAAACTCTGGTGTTCCAGTCAATACAGCAAGAGATCAGAAGTCTGTTTAGAATAGGTGTGATGGAATGATCCTCCCGAAACAAAGACATCAAGGTCCATCATGAGCTCGCTCCCTTCCTCACTCACTCATCCACTGAACAAACATAGGCTAAGGCTTGCTAGGTGAGAAGTAAGAAGAAAACCTGGTTTGGATTCTTGAAAAAAATCAAAGCCTGGGAAATAACAATAACACAGTTGAACTTTCCGTTCCTCTACTACTGCCCAGCTTAGACCTTGAACCCATGCTATTTCCTCCTGTCTTTAGTGCATTCCCAATCATTTGATATTGGGACAACATAGCCTACTTCTCCAAATCATATTTCTGCCAAGTGAATATGAAATTTTATTATAATACAATAGAAAATATCATTATGAGGATTTTAATAATATGGTACATAAATGTTATATTAAGTATAAAAACTGAAAACAGTTCCCATATAGAGTGTGATCATGACATGAATGTGCACACATACTCACACACACACACACACACACACACACACACACACACAACCACAGAAATAGTAATGGATTACAAGAGATCAAAATATTAACCACAATTACAGTTATGAGCGAATGAAAATTTTTGAAACAGTAGAAATTTATTTTTATAAATATATAATGAGACAACAAGTCTATACTTTAAAATCTACCATTTCATCTGTTAAATAAGAAGGAAATAGAAAAACACAAATCTGTTTATATAACTCATAATCCTGGCTCATAAATAAGCCTTAAGTGTCCTTCTCTGACTTAATGAAAGTGCAAGTTCTCTACTAGACTAGCTTTCAAGGGGCTGGGAGTGTGGCTCAGCATTAGGGCCCAGGACTGCCATTCCTGAGACCCTGGGTTTGCTCCTCAGCATTGAAGGATGCAGCCTCTCCAAGCTGCTGCCTCTTCCCCTGAATCTTCCCCTCTTCTCTACTACAGATGGTACCTTGCATCCTGGGATGTCACTCCCCACCTCTCCAGCCTCCAAATGTTTGCTCAGACTGTTGCTTCTTCCCAGAGTTAGAAGGCCAGATGGCAACTACCGGTGATGCTCAAAAATATGAGGAAATGGGGCAAACTGTGTTTACTAGGACTCTGTTCAGAAACAGCACTGTAGGTGTTAGGGAGGAATAATTTAATAAAGCCACTTAGTGAGGAGGGGTGCTAGGAATCCAGTGACTGCCACAGCTAGACTGTCTTCAAGGGGAGCAGCAGGCTCAGGTAACCACAGAGCTCTTACCCTGCTAAATAGGGCATGCAAGCTTGCAGGCAGAGCTGCATGACTCACTGGGGCAATAGAGAAGAGGATTACATGGGGCTTATTCTCTCCAGTAAACAAATGTTGAACAAATATTTAAGACGATCATAAACCCAGTCAGTTGCATACCTTTGTCCTGTAACCTCTATTATGAGTCTCTTAAATATTATCTTCACCTGTGCCCGTAATAGACCACTGAACATCTTCCTTTGATGACTCTTTGCTCGTGATCAACATAGCACAGCTTGTTTTGCTCACTCTAGAGAATATTTCCAGAGTTTCATTTTCTCTTTCACCCGATGAAAATCTTGAGGACAAGTTTTATTTTTAACTGCACCTAGTCTGATATTCAACACATATTAAGTAAGCAAGTGATTGAACTAACTAAAAAACAGGAAACCCATCTCGGCATTGAGCCAAAAAGACAGAAAAATTAAGAAGAAGCAAAGGTCTTTCTGATAAATTACAAAAGGTCTTTTGGGGGATAGCTTGATGTGGGGAATTGAGAATAGGACAGAGGCTTAGAAAAGACACTACTTTGGCTTGACTGTAACCCAGAGAAATGAGTCCCAAAGTATCCAGAGCCTTCCTTGGAGCGCATCTCAGTGTCACTTTCTGACAGCTGGCTATAAGCAGTCTTGTGCCATTAGTGAGAAAATGTCACTGAAATGTGAATAATTTGAAGTTCTGTGGGAATCCCCTAAGCAACTTCACCTAGACAAGCTGTTCTTCAGCCTGATGTCACATTGAGATTTTAGGGTGGAGGTGGGAGTTGAACAAACTCAGAACGGTGTGCTATAAATAGAAAAGCATCTCATACCCTCTAGTAACAATAACCATCCCTGAGCTATCTAGCCATCACCTGCTATATTTCACACTGCTCATATTTCCCAACTCATTTGCAAGAGTCAGGCCTCTGCTATGAGTCACTCTCTATGACTAGCTCAATCCATTCCTTCCAAATTAACCTCCAAATTCAGCAGAAAAACACAAGTCCCAGAGTAAGCCATCTCACACATGGGCAAATTGGATCATCTTGCTTTCAAGCCTTTGGGATGTGTCTACCCAAGAGGGCATTCCCTATCTAGCTCCATGCCAGCTCCCTGTTCAGTCTCTTTGCTGTGACTGGAGGGCTCCTTTCACCACCAACAAGGCCCACATGGGTAACTTCCTACAGCTTCTGTGCTTGTAATCTCATAGGTATGAGCTCTGACTATTGACAAAGACTCAAATTTAACTTTTGCCAGGTCAATCATCTCTTCTCCCCTCCATAGCCAATGTGTCATATAACATGTGCTTACAAGACTGAGATGTGTAGATATAGTGTTATTTATTTTCTATCTTGTGAGGCTCCTACTAAAAAACAATTTAAAACAGAGCAAATTAAAAAAAAAAAAACCCTAAAACCTCAGAAATGGTGATTGTTATACATTGAGTTGAGTTTCATGCTTCATTTCAGCAATAACTCATACATTTTAAGTCTGAACTGTACACATCTAATGGAGCATTCTAACTTCCACAGAAGTGGGGAAATTATCCAAATGGGATTCTCTTAAGCAGATAAAACTCTATTTTTGATCCTGTTGAAGTGCAGGTCCTGTTAGACAAAAATCTTGCTTGGCCAGGTTCCAGAAGGCAGACCTTATTGGACCTGGCTATGTATTGGGGTGTTTGGGGCTCCACACAGAAGACTATCTGTTGGTTTCCCACCAAAGTCAAGCATCATGGATCTGAAGTTAATGGGAGTCCAGTCAGTCCTTCTGGAAAATCACAGGGGCTTCTGGAGGCTGCCCAAGAGAAGTATACATATTCCCTCCTTAAGCTTGAGCACTGTGGGATGGAGGCACACTGCCTCTTGACTTATTGTATCCTGTTTTGAACAATTCCAATAGCTATTTTATTTTTTTAATTTTTAATTTTTTTTACCCTTAACAAGTACTGGTGAAACAGACATCAAGCATCTGCCACTTAGAACTTACAGCTCTGGCATTTTGTCATTTTCATCTCAAAAAAATTAAATATTACCGATAAAGTTGAAGTCCCTCCTTGTCAACAAGAGTGGCTCTTTATCCTAAATAAATCTCATGAAATCTTTTTTCCTCAAAATTCTCTATATTTTGTTTGAATAATATGAATTTTCTGATATTTGGTTTTGTTTTTACCTAGAATTAAATTTCACATAGTTAACACATGTTTTGTGAATTAGCTTTCAAATTTTCCACAAATGACATAATACCATACATAGTAAATTTCCCATTTTCACTCAGTATCATGCTCTTCAGGATCTGCACACATTTAAAGAACTGTTGTTGTTTCTTTAACAGTTAAATGACATCCTGTTTGGTAAAAGGTATACTGTCCTAATTATCTATCATCCAGAGCTTAGTTTGTTTTGCTATTACAAGGTAGACTTGTGATGGCCATCTTTGTCCATTCATCTTGGAGCACTGATTCTGAGGAATAAAGAAGATGAGCAATTATTGGGTGGTGGAATGCAGCTTCAATTAGGTGAGAGGATACCAATTTGCTAGTACCAGCAAGGGTACCAAGAGTCCTACTAATAGTAAATGAGATGCCTTGTTTTCATCCTCTCTAACCAATCTAGACACTCGACCTTTTGAACTTTGCCACTGTGAGGTGCAAAACATTGTTAGGACGGTGACAACATGGAGGCTGTGACAGATACTTTTTTCAAACATTACTTCTTCTTCTTCCACCAAAGTCTGCCACTCTGCCTATGTATTGCCTGTGTCAGCAGGCCTCAACCTTTTGTCCTCTGGTTCCCTTTATGGTCTTTAATTTATTGGATACTCCAGAAAGCGTATGTGCATATGAGTCTTGTCTATTAATACTTACTGCATTAAAATTTTTAATTAAGAAACATTTAAATATTTATTATGTAAAGTAATAAGCTGATTATGCAGTAACATAACTAAAGTATTTTATTAGAATGACAAAATAAAAATGCAAAAGATTGGCATCATTTTGCATCTTTGCAAATTACTTAGAAGTCTAACTTCATGAGAAACAGTTGGATTCTCATACCTGTTTCAGCATTCAATCTGTTGTAATACATTCTGAAGTATGTGAAGAAAATCCAGCCTCACAAAGATGATGTCCTTGGCAGAAAAGGGAGAATTTTAGTAGCTTTTACACACAACTGGAAATTATTTGACACTACTGAACTCAGCAAGTGGCAGTATTTTAGAAGCTAGTTGCAATATAGAATCAGAATTCACTTCAACACACATCTTCTCTGCTGTTGCCTTAAAGACCTTTGATCTATTTCATACTTCTGTGAATCTTTGACTCAAATGATTTTGAGGAAGCTCTGGCTAGCAACTTAGAGAATATTTATTAATTTGCTGGATTATCAGATCCTCTAAAGATTGGCAGAGAAACCAGGAAGTCATATTCCTAGTATGAGTCCTTACAAACTGGGAAGTTGTCAAGTTCATGGTGGCGATACAAGGTTTCCTAAATTGTATTCCCTACCTAAAAGACTGAATTTTATCATTGGTGAAAATTGTTGTCTCTTCTCCTGCAAGTTCATCTTGTTGTTAATTTTTGAGAAAATACTTGAAGCTGTATAACCATAGCCTGTCAGTCATTCACTCAATTTAAAATGCCATCTTATGAAAGAAGTAGCTCTCAATGCAAATAGCGGCACTTGCCTCTCCTCAGAGCAGTCATAGCTGAGAGACAGGGGATCAGCTTATGAATCTTTCCTGTGTTAGCACATGAAATGTTAAAGATTGATGTTTCCAGGATTGGAAAATCCATGAAATAGTAATTTCTACTTCATCAAGACACTGTCTGCTTTGGTCGTTGGGTATGTAGAAGTATACAATTGAGTCTCTTTGGTCAAATAATCCATCTGTAGGAAAGAAACTGAGTAATACATTCTGTACCTACTTTGTATTTTAGTTTAATATTGCTAGTGTTCATGTTACCACAAACTTAGCGGCTTAAAACAAAATAAATTAGTCATCTCAAAATGCCAGACATCAAAAGTCCAAGACAAATCTCTCTGGTTTAAACTTGGGGTGTTAAGGGTCATGAGGAGAATTCATTTCCCTGACTTTCCTTTTTTCTAGACACTGCATGGAGTCTGGTCCTCTCTCTCAAAGCCAGCAGCAAAGGTTAAGTACCTGTGTGGCACACCACTTACCTGCTCTTGAGTTTGGAGACCTCTGTGATTACATGGGACTCTGACAGCAGTCTTCCTTTTCTAATATCAGCCAGTCAGCAGCCTGGATCTCATCAGCAGCTCCCATGCCTCTTTTCCTTATAAGGTAATGCATTCACCAATTCAAAGGATTAGAAAATGAACATCTTTGAAGATCCATTCATTCCCAAGTATCCCTTGGTACAGGTTGCTTTGTGCATCTCAATTAGGGGAAAAGGCAGGTAGGAGGGAGAAAGTGGACACCAAAACAAGTCACTATTCATCCCTTGGTACAGGTTGCTTTGTGCATCTCAATTAGGGGAAAGGAAAAGGCAGGTAGGAGGGAGAAAGTGGACACCAAAACAAGTCACTATTTTTGAAGACATGAGCTTTCAGGACATTGTGCTGTGTTTTACATTTAAGTGTATTTATACATATGAGGTCAGTTGTTACTCTCGGGGTTTATAATCTAACATATAAACATAAAGCAAGTTGGATGCTTGTCCAAAAAAAAAAAAAAAAAGAGACT